GTCTCATAGATCATAGAGGGAATGGGCCATTGAGCCTATTCTGTCTTAGGTGGTTTATCTTTTGGGGGCCGAGGTTCTCGCTCGCCAAAGTGATCGGCAAACCTTTCATACCGAGATGAAAAATTCAGAGTCGCTTTTAGTGAGTGGCTGATTATATTGCCACTGCCAAAATCTATTATTGTTTTCCAGTTCATGCGATAGACCTAACATTAAACGACATTCACTGAAAGTTCCATTATTGGGTTTAGCACTTTCATCCGCGTTTCAGAACAATTCTACAAAGTTGCTTCGGTTCGAACCATTCATAGATCGGGTTACCTCAAAATGGTGAAAATTTTCCGCAAAATCATTGCTAAGAAGAGGCGCAGAAGTAACTCGAACTTGGACTGAATCGAAGATGAAACTCGCTCCTGGCCTTGAATGGACTAAAATGTAAAACGTCGCTCTAGCTGAAACTTGAAATACCTGTATTGTAATTTTATATAAAGTATCTTGTTAACACAAAAAGTAATTGTGTAATTAGAGTACAATGTAGAGTAAGAATTGTATTATCAGTTGTGTAGGCAGAGTATCTGTAGTATTTGTAGTGTTTGTAATCGTAGTGTAAGTAGTAATCGCAGTGTAAGTAACGGTTGTATTGTAAGCAATGTCAGTAGTGGCGTAAATGATATTAGTATCGTAAGTAATGTATAAGTGTTGTAGGTAATATTAGTATTGTAAGAAGTGGTAGTAGTAGTGTAAGTGGTATTGTTAAAAAAAGGATGAAAATCGCTCCATGAAGGGACTAACATGTAAAACGTCGCTCTAGCAAAAGCTTTAATTCATCAATCTTATCTTTTTAATCCGGGAGGTCTTTTAAGGTCATTCCCATTCTCGTCCCCAGAGCCTCCGTTTCTTTTGGCCACGTGGTCGGAGAAACGGAGGGTGCTACTCGTCAACGACATTTTAAGACGAGTAGCACTGGGGACGAGAATGGGTCATTCCTCACATTTGCATTGCGCATCCTTACTGCGCATAATTTATGGCGTCATTAGCGCGCGCTTGTGCGCGCCCATATTTAAAACATGACGAATTTGCCTTGATATTGAGCTCTGTCAGTTGAAAAATGGCT